CCTGATCACTTAGTATTTAATTTATGGTTTCCTTTTTCCTCTTCCTTTTGACAAAGTTTCCTTTATGTAGTCTAGCCTGGAACTTACTATGTATTGCAGAGTGGGTTCAGACTTGCAGTCCTTCTGCCCCTGCTTAACCAGTGCTGAAATTATAGGCCTGCACCACTATGACACCTAGGTCTCATTTTCCAATTCTATGGCATGGAAGTAACAATATCTGGATCACCGCAATGTTATAGTAGGATTAAATGAGCTAATACATTAAACATTTAACAAAGTACATGGTGAACGGTAAATATTCAGAAATTATTTGCTCTTATTAATGATTATTCATTCTGATATGAATTATCTGTTTCCTCTGTTTCTCCAAATAATTAAAAGTTGGCCATACTGCAGAGCTCCAGTAATTTAGGCATACAAAAGATGATACCAGGACTGCAAATCAGATGGCTGGCCAAAGAACTTGGATTTAAAGTTAAATTAGAAAACAGAAGACCTTAAAGACTAAGATGCTCAACAACTTAAGATGGGAGAGTGGAAGTGCAAGAGGGTGTCCTTAGGGGGCAAAGTCCTTGATTTACATCCTTTCTCCTATAATAAGAAATCGTATTCTCTACTAAGACAAATACAATGCCTAAGTTTGAATAGGAAAAGACTCTTGTAAAGTCTCCATTAACAAAAGACTCTCAGTTGTTTCCCTTTGTTCTTTATATTGGCTGTGATTCCTTTTCCTTCTCTCTGCTGTAGCATGTAATCATCCACTTTTTACACTTTGGTCCCAATTAGACCAAGACCCGTCTTTCCTAGTTCTCTAACTCAGCAAATAAAGCATGCTGCATGTTTGTTTTGTGGCAACTAGGAATCTAGCATATTAAGTATATACTGGACCTCTGACCTATGCCTCCAGCACAGGATTCTTTTCAAAAATAAAATTATAATGGAATCAAATTTCAATTAACACAAAGTGAGTTTTCTCAACTGCAGTGTTTTCTGATCAAGCCATGTATGCCTTCATGAGCCTGTCTCCCTTTATCTGGTCATTCCTGCAGTGTAGCAACTCAGACTCCTTTGTCGGATTTCCTTCTCGCCAGCTCTTTGGGGGGGGGGGTCCCATAAAAGCTCCAATCTTGCCCGGGTGGTGGTGCACACCTTTAATCCCAGCATGTGGAGGCAGAGGCAGGTGAATGTCAGTGAATTCAAGGCCAACCTGGTCTACAAACTGAGTTCTAGGACAGCCAGTGCTACACAGAGAAACTTTGTCTCAAATAAACCACAAACAAAAGAAAGCTTCAATCTTGTCTTCTCTGGCAACAAAAAATAATTTGTCATATTTTCCTTTATAAGAGTAGCATTTGCCTTTGGAGAGGATTCCTAAGAATTGTTGAGCTCCCTAGGATCCGAAAGCACCATGCTTTATCTTTTATGAAAATGTTTGTGCCAGTCAGTGTGGGGACAGCAAGACACGGGTGGCTACCCAAGCAATAGAAATACAGCAAGGAGTAGCCAAGGAAATTTTATTAGGTTTTTGTTCATTTAAAACTAAGCCAAAGGCTGGGTGGGTGGCTCAGCAGTTAAGAGTGCATGCTGCTGAGTTCAGTTCCCAATACCCAGACCAGATAGCTCACAAATGCCTGTAACTCCAGCTCTAGGGGAATATGACACTGTGTTTTGGCCAATGAGGGTATCCACGTGTACCTACCTCACCCACCCCCTCACACACACACACACACACACACACACACACACAATTGAATCTTAAAAAAAAGAAAGAAAGAAAGAAAGAAAGCCACAAACAGCTAGCCCTGGCCAGAGGACTTGAAGCTGTTTCAGTCCCTGTGTTTAGTCTAAGATTCACTTTGTTCATTCAAAAGTCAGCAGCGCCCATTTAAAAGAATGATGCTTTCCTTCCAGGACTGGGCTATATCAGCTTGTCTGCTCCACCTAGTTTTGGAGTGTTTAATGATGACTTGCAGGCACAAGAAAAGGGGGCTGGCCAATTAGATTCTATTCCTAAAGAATATATTAATAGGGCTGCCAAGATGTCAGAGGTTAAGAACATGGTTACTCTTGTGGAGGACCTGGGTTTGACTCCCAGCACCAACAAAGAGGCTAACAGCCAACCATTCACACCTCCAATTCCAGGAGATCAGCAAGTATGGTTGTGGTACACATTCGAGCAAAACACTCATACACATAAAATAATCTTAAAAATTTAAAGAATTTAAAGAATTCAATACTTTAATAGCACATCAAATCATTAATTTTTAAAGAATCATAATCTTGTAGACAGGAGTGTGCATTCTTCCATATGTGCACATCATGTGTCTTGACTTCAAGATAAGAAGGGCAAAAATACATTCTTCTCTCCAGAGGTCTGTCTAGATAGGTACAAAGGGTACATTTCATTGTATATAATTCTAGCAAGTCTAGCCAATCCTGAGTTATCTCAGTTCTGGGGAGACCTTAAGGATAAATTAATTTAGTTGTAAAAGGCATTTCCCACATATTCAAATTTCTTCCTTCTAAACAAATATTACAATGGGAAATTATGCTAAAGCTTACTTGGCACACATGGAGACAGGATGCAAATGCTCTCTGCACTGTGGTGAGACAAGTCCCAGAATCTAGAACGTTCCAGTTCCACCTGATCAGCCTTGCCTCAAAAGGACCCACATTTTATAGGTTATCAGGAAAGTAGGAACTTTTGTTATCCTGTGAAAACATCCCAGGATTTCTATATAGTGTCATTTAGATTACAGCCCCCAAACCCTAGCACTTAGTCCTTCATTCTGTAGGCAACCATCCACGCTTCTGCTTACTAAACTACTCATCCATCAAGTGCCAAGCCCCTACCCAGCCACCTGTTCTGGGTGCTGAGAGCAAAGCAGCGTTCTAGATATGCAAGAGTACCCATGAAACTTAGTCTCTAGTGGGCAGAAACGTGAGTAAGGGGTATGCCAGATCCTCGGATGGTGCTCTGAAGAAAACAGTCATGTGGTAGAGTGTTGGGGGTGTCTTTTTAAATGGGGGAAGTTTGTGCTGAGTTTGGACTACATAGTTGCCAGCTCCCCAAAGCCAGCCTAGGGAAGTCTGTGAGGACCACCAGAGAAGGTCATTTCCATTCTTTTTATTGGATTCTTTGTACCAACATAATATTTGGCTTTGAACATAAGATGTAACATTTTAGAGTAATTAAGTTTGCTAAATGTTTCCTTGATTGTCTTAGTTAATTCTCACAAGACACAATACAGAGAAAGAAGCAACCTGATAAAATGACTTTCAGAAGATCAGGAAATGGATAACTGGCAAAGCCAAGAACTTGAACTTGGCCCAGACTAATGACCATAGGCTCCATGCTTTTAATTAGCTAGTGGGTCTCCTAGAACACCAGCACGATGCTTCTGAAAAATTGCAGCTTTCTAGCCCCCAAACAAACTAGGGCCTGAGGAATTGGGAGCCTGAGTTGTTAACAGGCTTCACAGTGGTTTCATGTACTGAATTTTAGGACCACTTTGCTTGGTTAAAAGAATGAATGAAAAAAAAAATTGAAAATTCCAGTTCTCTTAAACTTTAAACCCTTATAAGGGTCAGTTTAACACTGTTTTAGGGAAGAAGAAATCTCAGAATCTCCTAGGTCTTTCAAGAAGACCAAGGAAAAAATACTTTAGGACTCAAAGTACCTACTTGGCAAGCAGTAAGCCCTGGATTCAGTCCCCATCCTGAATCACCGTGCCTGGCAGCATACACCATAACCCCAGCACTCCAGAATTAGAAACAGGAGAATCAGAATCAGAAGTTTGAGGTCATCCTCAGATATACTTCAAGTAGGAGGCCAGCCTGGGGTGCATCATACACACACACACACACACACACACACACAGTGTATATGTATAAAAATCTCAGAAAGAGGTAGGTAGGCAAGGGGAAAAAGAAAAGTAATTTTGTAAATGTCTCTTTCCTGAAGTATGGTTTTAACCTAATAGAGTGGATAATCTGAGATGCAGCAGCTCCAGGGATGTCACACCCCCCTTGCCAGTTCAAATGAACTCTGTAGCTAGCTTCAGGATTTGGCTGTGCTGCAGAACCCACCTGAAATGTGCTCAGAGTTAAGTCACATCCCACCACCCTGTACCCCACATACATGAAGCATGCCCAGCCTTACATGTTAGTCCTTTATTAGGCCCTCCTTTGGAACGGGGGTGGGGGTGGGGTGGGTGTCCTCCAAGTGGAAGCAGGATCTAGCTACTTTTTCCTTTGAAACTAGGTTGGCCAGACATCCCCAGAGCAGTTTATCTTGACAGATGTCACGCCTTTACTTAGAGCTGTAAATACAGGATGTCCCAAATAGTGCCTGGAGCATACTTAGTCTTAAAAAATACTTTCTGTCTCAAACTCAAATTTAACTAGGCTTTTTGTTTGTTTTTTGGTGTGTGTGTGTGTGTGTGTGTGTGTGTGTGTGTGTGTGTGTGTGTGTGTTTGGAATTTGAAAATCTTGAATTACAATATCCATGGCCCGTTTGTAGGGAGCAACCTATGATGTCTCCGCGGACATAAGGACTGAGCTGTAGGGGGAAGCTCCAGAGTGTGAGGGAAAGGAAAGTCCAGAGTGTGAGGGAAAGGAAAGGCAGTTCCTTCACTCTTTTATTGAGGTGGAGGCCCAGCTGGTGGCATCCCAGTGAGGGACTCGGAGTTTTAAACTGCCTGTCTCCCTCTCTGTACCCCAAAGGTGAGTAAGGAGGACTAGGATCCTATTTTTTTCTAGATCCTAGTGTTAAGCCTGGACGCAGGCTGGCGGGAGCGAACAGAAGCAGTACCCAAATGGTTACAGCCCAGGCAAAGTGCAGACCTGCCGGCCAGGCCAGGGGCGCCAGTTCTTGAACTCCACTAGCGGCCTTGGCCCCGCCTCCAGCTCCGCCCCCTTTGTTATCCGATACTTCTCTGGGTCAGCTGGTGCTGGCGTCAGGCGGAGGGATGGGCTGGCTCAGCTCGACCCGGCAGGGCTTGTTTACTATGGCTGATGATCTGGAGCAGCAGTGAGTTACTCCTGTCCGTTTCTCTTTCTATCTCTGTCTGTCTGTCCGGGCCAGGATCCGGGGACTGTCTGTGGTTGCGGACAGCTTCAGACTTCCCCGCCTTTCCTTTTCAGGTTGGCTTCCAGGGAGGGATGGGGTGCGCTGAGGAGGCTGCGGAGCTGGGGGAGCGTTGAGGGATGAGCCTGTGTGCAGCCTGGGGATTCTGACTTTCCACTTAGTCTTGGTAACACAGTGTGATTGGTGGTGATGTGCGAGGGATAAGCTTGCTTTTCCAGCCCCCAAAGCAAGCTTGAGAGGCGCGGACAAGGGGGCAGCAGCCGGGTACTTGTCGAGACTTGCTCCTGGACTGAAGTCGTGGGTGTAAAGGCCCCGCAGAAGGCGTGGGAAGGAGGGAGAAGTCTCCACTGTGCTGGAATTAGTGTGGAACTGGCTTGCAACTTCCTCTAGCCCTTGGCCTCCTTGACATGTTCTGCTTACACTCCTAGTTGATGATATTTTTAATCATTATAAACACATGCTTACTGCAGTGGTTTCAGAATTAGGTTTTTAGATTGGGTGGGAGGAATACCGTTCATCCAAGGGCATCAAGTTTGGGATGCCACCTGTGGGTGGTATGATGATGGTTTAACAGGATCAGGAAAAAGTTGCTTTGAGAGAATGACTCAGCTCCAAGGGTTTCATGGGAACAGGGCCTTCCCTTGACCTAATATTTGTCCTTTTGGCAGAAAGAATTAACTTTGTAACAATAGTAAATAATAGCTTAGGGAACTTGAAGGAGCTGCCCAGGAGAGCATTGCTTTCTAAGAGGAAATTTACGATGCCTGCAGTGATTCTGGGAAACAGCATTAGAGCCAGAAAAGATGCAGGTCATTTAGCTCCCTTTTACAAATACAGCAGCAGATGCTGGTGCCCATAGAAGTTCAGGGACTTGTTCAAGATTTCCCGGGTCTAGAACAGGTTCTCTCCCAGCGTAGAACTGCTCTGTTAACTCCACGAGGACGAGGCACCACCCAGGCCAGTGTTAAGCCTATGGTTAAAGGGCTTTGTGCTATCTGCCTCAGTTTCCCACCTCAGCTCCTCCCTCCCTAATAGCAGACACACAGTGGGACAGGCACTGTTGCCTGTCCTCTTTCTGCATCAGTTTCTGGAGAAGAAAGGCAGAGGTGTGCACATAGCTCCCTGCACCCCTCACTCCCACCCCTTCCAGGACTGTGTGGACCACACTGCTGTCTGTAGGATGGCGTTTCTCTTGCAGACAGGAAGTTTCTTTTTTGAGACTGGCCAAGACCTGCGGTCCTGGTACTGGTGCTTCATCCAACATGGAATTCTGCTAGACTGTTAAGAGGGTCCTGGGTGTCCCTAGGATTAGATTGGTTGAGACTGGGGCGTTCATCTGTCCAAAGCCATTGGTGTTCCATTCACACAGCAACACTAGGTTTTCTTTCAAACTTCAAACTTTCATTGAGAGTGGCTACTTAAAAATAGTAGTAATGTATACAGGTAGTGATTCAGCTGAAGGAAAATAATGTTGATTGGGGGTTTATCAGTGCTAAGCAGTTTTCTATAAAGCTTTAGATGTTAATTCACAAAGTTTTTAGAAACTCGTGAAGCAGATACAATTACCTCCCATTTGCAGCTGACGAAACTGACACAGTAAACTAGTGTGCCATAGTCTCATTGCTAGTAAGTGGCCTTGCTGGATTAGAACCCTAGTTTCTGGCTTTAGATCACATTCCCTTCAGAAAACAGATGGAAATAAAATGTGGTTATGTACTGGAGTGTTCAGATGTGTCTTCAAAAATCAGAGGTCAGAAGACCCACAGAGGAGGTGTTCTTTTTCTAACTTTCTGGTGACCTTTCTGGACATCAGACTGTGAGGTAGAGGCTGGACTAAGTAATTTCCAATCTAAAAATCTGTACTTCACATGATGTTCAGGGTGCCCATTGTATATGCTGTGAGTAGATGGGATGGATGGTTCCTCCACAAGATGCCCTTGTCTTCTAATGCTCATACCCATAATCCCTTGCTGCAGCTTCTGGCCACCATCCTATACTATAGCCTTCACCTAGGTAGAGTTCACAAAAAAAGATATATAACATGAAAGATAGGGAAGGTAGAATAAAAACTGTAATTCATTGAGCAATTAAATTTTGGCAGGTACTGACAAGGTTCCTTTAGTATCTAGACCTCAAAGCCAGTGTATTTATCAGTGGCAGATCTGTGATTCAGATCCAGGAGTTCTGTTTACTCCAGAACCAGGGCTTGTAACCTCCATGGCTTAGTCACTGGGTGTGAAGGAGAAAGCAGGGTGAGTTACCAGTTTTACTCTAGGACATAGGTAAGCTTTCTTCTCACTTTACAACCTGAAAAATAAGCCAGAGGCAACCTGTATCTATCTCTCAGTGACATTAGGACATGAACCCAGATAACCCACCCCTGCTCCCTGACTACCCCAGCTCCAAGTTTACAGCTAAAGGATTTTGCAATGAGGGGCCAAAAGGCCCATACTTCTAGAATCGTGGAAGGCAACAGATGGTGTGAGAATTTGTCCACCTTATCCTCAAAGAACGGCTAGTTCTGGGGTGTGGCAAAGAATAATGGAAATATTAATTAATGTCGCTCCCTCTCCCTTTGGAATCTCCTTGAACATAAATATGATAACCAGTAAAAAGGGGGAGTTGTAAAGCTCCAGGAAGATAATAAATGTGGAAAGTCGAGTCTTGTGGACATGGTGTTCTGATCTACGAAGGGTCATTGTTAACAGCCACTGCCAAGGAAGAGTGTCAACGTATCAGATTGCTAAGGCATTGCTGCCACTGAAGGCCATGGAGGACTGGCCTCCTGAGGCTGGGGACACCTTGTGCCCTGATAACGCATGGAGCTGTCAGCAAGGCTGAGGATGCAAGTGTTCCCTTTTCAGCGTTGCCAACAAGTGCCTCTCTATCTTGCAGGCCTCAGGGCTGGCTGAGTAGCTGGCTCCCCACTTGGCGCCCCACTTCCATGTCTCAGCTGAAGAATGTGGAAGCCAGGATCCTCCAGTGTAAGTAGAGTGGGCAGTTTGCTCTTCCCTTTAAAAAGTCTGGAAGGGCACAAGAGCTTCTTCCTCAAGCTGGGTCCACTAAGCCCACTGATCCCGATGAGCAGTGCATGGGCCAGAGGAAAGAAACTCAGTGGTTTGAGGGGAGAGACAGACAGTACACAGTACACAGCGGTCCCTCAACTCTCTAGGTAGCCCTTCTACATCCTACAGCTTCACCTTAAACCCTATACATTCCAATGTGCATTAACTCACACATATTTTACCCCTCCCTTCATCTTTTCCTATCTTTCATTTTCTTTCCTCTCTTCTAAACACATAGCTAGACACATTTTAATTCACTACCTTCCTATTTGAGTGTCAGCACTCCTATGTATCTATGCTGTTTCCTGCCTTCTGCTCAGGTGTAGCCTACCAGCTGTCTGGTTACCACCATTATTTGGAGTTCACACAGACCAGATGCCATGAGCAATGTTGAAGAAGGGTGACTAGCCTTTGGTTCAAACAAGACCCTGGGGTCATACCTCCCCATACCCCCACCCCATCATGATCCACCTGCTCTGACCAGTTGGAGCTATTCTCTGGGCCCAAAAGGAACTACAGCTTTCAAGCCTGTATCCAGATACAGTCTGACTCACCCAGGAAACTCTTTCATATGACTGTTGCCATACCAGCAAAGACAGACAGGCAGACAGACAGACCTGCCCACCTCAATGTCTAAGAGGAGTAAGCCCTTGGTTCAACCTGTTCTCATCACCTGGCTAGACCACAGTTCTCCCTGTTCATCTCCAATCATGTGCACATTCAAGAACAATGAGTTCAAGAGTTGTATGACATCAGGGATCCAAAGGGAATCTTTTCAGAAATAGTATGTTCCCTCTTATTGCCTACAGACCAAATTGTCTATAAATTTCACTTGGGTCTGAATTCATTAGTAAGTGAAGTATAAAAGAAAAATTACTCTGGTACTTATTAGGTCTTTGAGAATGACTACATAAAACTTGCCATTGGGAAGATACCATTCTCTAAGAACAACTGGGGATTTATGGCTAAGGAACAGGGTCAGTACGTGGAGATCACTAAAGGCATCAAGGACAGGAGGTTCTTTCTGAATGGATTCAGCAAGATACTTGCTGAAGAAAAGCCAAGGACTTACACATCAAATCAACAGTAGAAGCCAAGGGACTGGATCTAATCTAAAGACAGGGTTGGGGGAGGGGCTTGCCTTGCTGATGTGATTTAGGATTCGGCTAAGGCCAGGCTAAGGAGGCTGGAGCTGGATAGGGGCTGTTTAAGTTCATTTTTTGTTCCTGAGATAAAACACTGACCAAACCAAACTTGGAGAGGAAAGGTTTTACAGTTCAATAGCTTACTGGCTTGCTCCTCCTGGCTTCCTCGGCTTGTTTTCTCTTTATTTATTTATTTATTTGTTTGTTTTTTGAGACAGGGTTTTTCTAGTGGCCTGGCTGTCCTGGAACTTACTATGGAGACCAGGCTGACCTCCTAAGGTGATGCCTTTAGGAAGAAAGGAAATGAAGTGTAGTCCAGGCAAAATGTCTGTGCTCTCAAGACACATTCTTGTTGGTTTACCCTGGAATTCTTCCCTTCCCAGGTCTCCAGAACAAGTTCCTGGCCCGTTATGTTTCCCTCCCAAACCAGAACAAGATCTGGACGGTGACTGTGAGCCCAGAGCAAAAGGACCGCACCCCTCTGGTGATGGTGCATGGCTTTGGGGGCGGTGTGGGCCTCTGGATCCTCAACATGGATTCACTGAGTGCCCGCCGCACACTCCACACCTTTGATCTGCTCGGCTTTGGGCGAAGCTCAAGGCCAACCTTCCCAAGGGACCCAGAAGGAGCTGAAGATGAGTTTGTGACCTCAATAGAGACATGGCGGGAGACCATGGGAATCCCCACCATGATCCTCCTGGGGCACAGTTTGGGGGGATTCCTGGCCACTTCTTACTCTATCAAGTACCCAGAAAGGTAATGTGACATTACCCTCCTCCCTCATGAGCTGAGGTCATGCCTCAGTAGGCACATTCCAATATTTATTTCCAGTAATGCTCTCATTTCCCAGCAGTTTGAGCCATGATACCTCTAAGTGAATACAGTGTATCCTCTATTTTTTCTGTTAATGTAGAGTTAAACACCTTATCCTGGTGGACCCATGGGGCTTTCCCCTACGACCAACTGACCCCAGTGAGATCCGTGCACCTCCAACCTGGGTCAAGGCTGTGGCATCTGTCCTGGGACGTTCCAATCCACTGGCTGTTCTTCGAGTGGCTGGGCCTTGGGGTGAGTCACCTTCAGGAGAGGAACCCTGTCTTTAAATTGAGGCCACCCCATTCACTACAGCTTGCCTTGGTGTGCCTGGTCTCCTATCATCCTCACTTGTTCATAAACAGAGCCCTGACCTGGCACTGTCACCTAAAACTGACAGTCAAGACCTCTTTATTGGAGGTTTCAGGTGATTGATAATTTCCCTCCATCTGCATCAGCAGATAGAACAGAATGGCTGCCTTATATGTTGGCAGATCCCAGAGAAAGGAAGGGGCTATGCTGTGTGCCTTCTCTGCTGTGAGTTTGTTTGACAACCTGCGGGTGACTCGAGTGCAGTGACCATCACTGGGTCCCGTTGCATGGCTCACGAGCACCTAGAGCAAGGAGGGTTCTGAACCTCAGCTTCTAAAGTAGCACAGTGCAGAAAATCCCTCTGAGCCATGCACTGCTGTAGGGAAGCGCCCCAGCTCCCTCTGTCCCGGGTTTCTTAGCACTAAGCAGCTGTCAGGAGATTCTCATGAAAGAGACAGAAAGCGCCCACCACACATAGTGTATGTCAGAGGCTCTGCATTCTCACCTCACATGGTCCATAGGCTTCCCTCCCTTTGAGAAGCGTTTTAACACTGGTAAAATGCAGACTCCTTTGGAAAGATTGGTGACCCTGTATTGTACTGATAGCTTATGTTTGTATAGAAATTTTCATAGTCACTTGTACAGTGGCTGAAACAGAATGGCTCTTAAGAAAGTGGGGAATGCACATTGATGTAGAAGGTAACAGGACTTCTGGTAGAAGGGAAAGCAAGGAACACAGATGCCAAAGAGGAGCAGGTAGGCACAGGGCTGACCTCAGAGTCCAGGTGACTCCAGCAGAGCCCCCCCCCCAACCTCCCTGCTCTAGCCATTCTCCCCTTCCCTGGCCTTGGACCTGGCCAGGTCCGTCCAGGGCCTCGGCTACTGTGTTGGGTGGCTGCCTGGCAGCCATGGAGGGTTGTGTCAGAAGATGGCAGGGCCTGTGGCTATATCAGTGCACCTCCCCACATACTGCCAGGACAGAGAAAGTCCTCACAATCCGCCTACATTCTTATCGCTTATATCTGCACTGTGATGAAAGGCACAGTGCCTGAGCCTGGGCCAGCTAAGGTCACCTTTCCGTGTGCTCTGTTACAGCCTGAAAATGAGATAGTACTTGGAAAATGATAGTTTCATCTCCACCTTCAGAAGAGTAGAAAGCCATGAATGTTCCCATGGGGGGGGGGCACAACTCAGACCATAAATGAAAATTCTCTCAACTGCAGACCCTCACAGAACTTGGGAACCTGTAGGGAAAGTCTTGGGACTTACTGGAGTGAAAATTCCTGGTTCCTTGGGGATGTCAGGCTGCCATTAAACTCACTGGTGACCAACAGCCACTGCTGCTTCCCTGCAGGGTTCTGCACTCTTTTTGCCACTGCCATGTTAAATGCATGAAGGGAATAAATCCTTAGAGAGATAAATTTGGTTAAGTTTGTTTAAACATAAGCAAGCAGGCGTTTGTTCTCTCCACCCTCACTGCCGCTCCACAGTTTTTAGTGGGTTTGGTTTGGGTGGTAGTGGTTGTTCTTTGTAGGGGCTTAAAGTAGGGTCTCGCTGTGTTCCCTGACTGACCTTGAACTTGAAACAATCCTCCTGCCTCTGCATGCTGAGGGCTGGAATTGCAGGCACATGCCACCATTCCCAGCATCAGGCTGTTGTTTCTTCTGTCCTCTCCCAGGGCCTGGGCTGGTGCAGAGATTCCGTCCAGACTTCAAGCGCAAGTTTGCAGACTTCTTCGAGGATGATACCATCTCGGAATATATCTACCACTGCAATGCACAGAATCCCAGGTAAGGGCGGCTCCCAGGACCAGCCCCACACAATGGCTTAAAGAGCTGCAATCGTATGCTTTATGCTTCTTCAACAAAACCTCGACTCGGGAATATAAGTACCAGCAGGCTTGCTCATTTCCAGAGAGTTCCTTAGGGGTGGTCACTAAAGGTATAGAAGATAATGAATTTAATTAACCAAACTGTCCCTCTCTAGAGGAAGACCTCATGGCTTCCCTGGGGATCAGCAACTGGCCTGATGAGCAACAGTGTGGGAAACATTTAAAAGGCTGTTTTTAACTGAAGAGTTGATTTAAAAAAAAATTTTTTTTTTTGTTGTTGGGTTTTGGTTTGATTTTATAGGCAAATGTGGCTTTTGTTTGCTTGTTTGTTTGTTTTTAAGGCAAATAGAGAAAGAGAAATCTTTGTCCATCCACAATCTGCAATTTCTAAATTTCCTCATTTCCAGTTCAATGTGTTGTGTAACATTGCTTCAGAGAGACTCCTAGAATGTGTCCCCTTGTATACATACATGTGACATATCTATAGAATACATTTCTAGAATACATTCAAAGAAAGAATATGTGTTTATTTCAATTACATGCACTATGAAATAGCTTAGAATTGGCATAAAAATTCTTTCCCTCTTTTAGAAGTGTAGAAGTTTCCTGAGAACTGTGAGAAGTTCTCATCTCTGGCTACTCACAGGCAAACTCTGGAAGCTTGCTGACCTGCAGTTTTGGCAGCATTGACAGCCTGGACAGGGCCAGGAAAGTAATCTCCCATAGCCAGGCCCTGTGAGAGGCTGGCACCAGCAGGTCTCTTTGGTAGCACCACCCTGTGGAGCCCTCACCCTGACCCTGCAGGAGCCACAAACACTACCACCTCTTTCCAGGCCTGTCCAAGTCACTGTGGGCCCAAGGCAGTGAGGAAGGTGAGCCCAGCCTTCCAAACTAACGTGAGCATCAGTCTCGATGCAGTGTGGGAGCCAGTATTGCATTTGATTATAGCTCGCAGCAGGGTCCTAGTTAAACAATGTGCCATGGGAACCTCAGCAATCAAGGTGGGCACCCTCAGCTTCCTGCTCTCTGACTCCTCTCAGCCCTCATGGGCTTATTATCAGTCTATCAAGTGGCCAGCTCTCCTCCCCTTCCTTCAGACATCACTCCATTTTATAACACCCAGCTCTTTTACCATAGCTGACAAGTTTTCAGTAATTCCCATCAGCCCTTTGGAAAATAGGAACTCCAGCCACAGGGAAAATGTTTGAGTACTATTTTCTTCACGTCACTTAGACTTCATTCTTTTCATCTTGAACAAAGAAAGTGGACGTAGTCCCCTCCAGTTTCTATATGAAGAAATCACATGGTTATGTGACTTGCTAAGAAGACACGATCTGACAGACTGTAGAGTCTGTGGTGCAGTGTCTCCTGGAGATGTTCTCTGCTTCTGTTGGCCTAGACAGAGTTCATCCTGGGGTGTAAAGGAAACCAGAAATGTAACTACACTGAACAGGCAGAGCCCAGGAGGGGACATTGTTCTCAAACTCCCTACCTCCCACAAAAGCTGCAAGCTAGTTGGAAAGCTGGCTTCTGTCCCAGACTCACACAAGCCTGATAGGGAGATTGAATTCACATTTGTGTCCCCGTAGCAGCAGCTGCTGACCCTGAGTCTCAAACTCCTGGTGGGTCTTCATTCTTAATCCCAGAATGTCTTTAGCACATCCTTCTCAGTAAAACATTCTTCAACGTTCACCTCCAGTGAATTTTCCCTCCATCTCCTCAGCAGCTAAGCCCCTTACCTGTGTCCTGTAGCTCTGACCCCCTTTCATAATCCTTGGGACGTTTTGAGTTAAAGTGTAGTCATCGGATTATTTATTTAGCCACCACCTTCCAAAGATGTAAGCAACAGTGCTAGCTCCAAGTAGGGTAGGCCCAGCAGCGCATCGGTCCCGTCCCTGTGTCCCTTCACCCAGCCCAGGTGTAAATACATGTTGCATAAATACTCACTGTGTTCTTGGACAGCTCTCTTTGTCGTGGGGGTTTTCACAAGCATGCCCTGAGGCATGTCACTCATCTCCTAATCTCATCAATATTCCATGAGCCAGCACTGGCTAAGAGGAGAATATAAAGACAGTAAGGTCCAGCCCAGCCTCAGAAAAGCATCGAGTTCACATTTTCTGCTTCAGGGTTTGTTTACCTGTCAGTTACCTCCCTGTTTTGTTCTGTCAGTGGGGAAACGGCCTTCAAAGCCATGATGGAGTCTTTCGGCTGGGCCCGGCGCCCCATGTTGGAACGAATTCACTTAATTCGAAAAGATGTGCCCATCACCATGATCTATGGGGCTAACACCTGGATAGATACCAGCACGGGGAAAAAGGTGAAGATGCAAAGGCCGGATTCCTATGTCCGGGATCTGGTAGGTTGGCTTGCCAAGAACTGGGAGTCACAGTGGACAGTGAGTAGGAAAGTCTTGGGTGACAAAGGGTAATCAAAATCAGGATGAAAATATACAGATGAGATAGAGCACTGGCTTTGAAATCTACCCCCAAATCCCTGCTGGATGGATAGTTAAGAATTTCCCTTGTCTGTGTAGTCCAGTTCAGCTTAAAGGCAAGTTCCTGGTGAGCAGCCAGGCATGTGCTTCCATTCCAGACCTTCAGCCTCCCCACCATCCCTGCTAAACCAGAGTAGCAGGATGCATAGCAGAGATGTGGTGGAAGACTTCCTGCCACCCTTCTGTCTCCTGCACCTCCCATCCCCACTGAATCACCTATGGCCTGCTTCCTGCATGAAATAAACAGACCAGTGGTGGGGCTTGGGAGTAGGAAAGATGGTGGATGTCCCCTAAAATAAAATGGCTTTAGACATTCATTGCTCCCCAAAGGGATGCACAAGATCCAGAGAAAAAGTAGTGTCTTCCTTCTGAGGAGAGCTGAGGGCTTTGGGGTGGGAGAAGGAATTGTTGCAACCACTCTCAGTGCTGGGACTGAGAGCTGAGTGGTGCAACCACTCCCAGTGCTGGGACCGAGAGCTGAGTGGTGTGACCACTCCCCAGTGCTGGGGCTGAGAGCTGAGTGGTGTGACCACTCCCCAGTGCTGGGGCCGAGAGCTGAGTGGTGTGACCACTCCCCAGTGCTGGGGCCGAGAGCTGAGTGGTGTGACCACTCCCCAGTGCTGGGGCTGAGAGCTGAGTGGTGTGACCACTCCCCAGTGCTGGGGCCGAGAGCTGAGTGGTGTGACCACGCCCCAGTGCTGGGACCGAGAGCTGATCCCCCACTGTCATCTGTCCACAGGAGATAGAGGGTGCATCGCACCACGTCTATGCCGACCAGCCACACATCTTCAATGCTGTAGTAGAAGAGATCTGTAACTCGGTTGACTGAGCTGCTCTGAGGGAAGAGGAGGAAGCCAGAGTTGCTGTCACCTCCCTGTCTTAGTCAGAACCTCTGTCCTTTTCTCACCAACTAACACGTGCCAGCCAGGCAGAGTCGGGCTGCTCCCGAGATAGGACCACAGTGAAAAAGAGCACTTCTGATCCCATGCTGAGGGCAAGAGGCAGAATCCACAAGAGGCCTTGAACTCCCTGCTCTGGGGAAGAGCATAAAGGGTTGCCTAGTGCCACCCATCTCTCCAAACCAAGTGTTACCAGGTTGTGATTATGAGGAGATTGCACAAGCCATGCTGTATCCCTGCATGGCCTTCCCTTCCTCTGGACAGAGGAGGGCTCCAAGCAGCCTTTCTAGTTTGGGAATGTGTTTGAGTAGGTTCCATACAGGAACATCTCCGTTCTCCATCACTCCATGCCTCTATCCAAACCCAGTTCCCACTTACCAAGAGCAGCTCTGTTCACCTGCACAGCCCCTTCTGTGACCTTGGAGGTCACATCCCAAGCCCTTACTGGCAGATGAGGAAGATCAGGGCAGGATGGAATGATGGCTTCCAGCACATGTTGCAAGCTTCATTCACTAAGGTCCCATGCAGACCCCGCTGCTGTGGAGCTGGTTTGAAACTAGTCTTGCTCCATCTTCTAACCTGTTGCACAGGTACACTGTCACCTTGCCCTGTGTCTCAATCCTGGTTGCCTAAATTGGGACACTCAAGACCCTTTCCCCTTCTTCCTCCCACTATGAGGCTGGAAGCCTCTTCTGTGCCTTGGGCCCTAAAGCCCCATGTGTAGTATGAAGCAAAGATGGCTCCTGGTGGAAAAGGAGAAAGGCCCTTCGACCCTAGAGTCATGTCTGGATTCACAAAGTCCACAAGTACCTGCAGCATTTTCTACATAGCCCCAGAGCTGAGGTCCCCCTAGAGCCCCTGCCCATGGCTCACTGAGGAACTTCAAGCCAGCAGTTCTCCATCCTCATCAGCCACAAAATGCTCCTCACTGCCTGACCCTCTATGCCTGTCATCTGTCACCATGGTCTCCAACTCACTCTGCTTCAAAATTACCCATCAGCCCTCTCCCACGGATCTCATTCCAGGTCCTGCTCTAAGGCTCTTGGGACTAGGCTGGGCCTGGCCCCAGAGGCAGGGCAGTTCCTGCCTGATCCTTCTCTTTTATAAAGCCAACCCTTTCACCAGAATAGTATTAACTCCTGGTGCTTTGTACTACTGGTCCAGCTGCCTCGGGCTCCTTTTCTATATTAATAAAGAAGAGTAAAAACTGTTAGTTATGATGATGTTTAATACTGATCCACAAGACCACTGAGTGAGTAGTACTGGCCCACAGCAGTCCACGTGGTCCCCAAACAAGAGAATGGAGTGAAAGAGGTACCACTCCCATGCCACTCCTCATCACAGACTATCTCAGACAGCCCAGGCATGATGGAAGAGTTAGTCTGAAGCACAGGTGTCTTAAACCTCAGTCAACAGAATCATGAGGTGCCAGGTGCTGTGCTCTGCCCAGTCAGTGCCCTGTCAACCTAGGTCGAGGCCTTTACAGCCCTGCTCCCCCTACTCTCCATTCTCTTGAGTCTCGGCTCAGACATTCCTTACACAGTGACACCTGCCCATCCCACCTCCTCCATGGAGACCCAAGTGCTTATCTTTGGGATTGTAAACTGGACTAAAGTGAGCTGCTTAGTGGTAAAGAGCCCTTACTGCTCTTCCAGAGACCTAAGTTCAGTCCCCAGCACCCATGTTCTATGGTCTGGTAGCTACCTCAAACTCTGTTCCCAAGTGGATCTGACATGACACCTGGCTTCTGCAGCCATTTGCACACACATGCCCACTTAAAACAAATGGGATGGAGTGATGGCTTAGCAATTAACAGCACTTGCTGCTCTTGCAGAGAACACTTCAGTTCTCAGAAGACTCACAAATACTTGTAACACCAGTTCCAAGGCATCCAATGTATGCTCTAGCCTCTGTGGATGCATGCATGCGTGTGTGGTGCACATAAGCTCACACAGACACACACACACACACATAGATTTTAAATAAAAAAAACTCAAGATTATCACTTGTTTAATATCTGTGTTTCATCCCTAAACAGAAGCTGTGTATTGATAAGGGGCATATTTGGTATTTATTTCCATAATAAATGTTGGTTTTGATCAAGTCAAAGAAGTAAGATATACCAGATAATCAAAACAATGTTTAAATCATCACTATTAGTACCTGTACTTTCTGGCTAACTTCAAGTCAGCCCAGAATCCCAGCTCTAACTGCAAGTGACACATGCTGTGCAAATAGATGAACTCATGGGCAAACAGACACAAATGCCTTCTGGGGTGATTACAGAGCCCAGCCTTGGCACAGGACCATCTATGCTGGAGGTTGTTGTATGGTGAACACATTTTAGCTCTACTATATATGTCAAGAGACAAGGATTACAAAAATGAAAGACATGTTCGCTTGATGAGAAATCCCAGTCTCTGTGGAGAGAGACACAACCAATATTTAGGTAATTAAAAACTATAGCTGAAAAGTGATGACTTTGACAGGAAGCCTATTGCAGCAGTGATGGCAGCTGAGCCTGAAGGGAGGGTGGCAGGCGGGAGAGGACAGTGAGAGAGAGAAAACCCACTGGTTCTGGGAGGCATTTGAGGAGATGCATTGAGGAGGCTGTGTAAAGAATGTATTCATTTTCTCTCTAAAAGAGTTTGGGGGGGCAGTGGGAGGAGGTACATGCCACATGGCACATGTTGGTTACCTCCTTCTACCTTTGTGTGGGTTCCAGGGATCAGACTCCAGGAGTCATCAGGCTTGCAGTGGTAAGTGCCTCTACACACAGAGCCGTCTCACCCATCAAAGAATGTGTTCATTCTAAGAGAGAAACACTAGGCTGTTGGGGCGGCGGGATATGGCTCCAATCTAGTTTTGTTCATGAAAACCACATGGTGGAAGAAAACTGACCCCCACAAGTTGTTCTCTGAACTCCACATTTGTGCCATGGAATGTGCCTTACACACACACACACACACACACACACACACACACACACACACACACACAGTCTGATGAACATTCCTAACATTCCCAGGGCTGGAACGAGGAAACAACTGAACACACTAGCTAATTGGCACCATTCATAGTGGGCTCTGAGGACTAACAATGCCATGTGCTCAGGATCCTAAAGGCCTAGCAGTTTGTATGGAGAGATCGCCCAGATAAAGTGCCTTGAAGACACAGGAGATGCCGGGGCTACTGGGAAATATGCTGTATTTAAATGTTTTCATCAAGGTAGACCAAAATCAAGTCTGATTTTGTTGTCAAAAGGCTGGGAAACCCCTGAGGAGTGGCTGTCCACTCTCTGAGACAACACTACACTTTAAGAGCACAATGGCAAGTGCAGTGTGTAGGCAGAGAAAAGGACCCTATGTGGCTAGTGGCCAACATAGTGTCCCCAGAGGTGTGCAATGACTGGTGTGGCGTCACTTCAGACATCATGTGACCTTTGGATTCACACAGAACCTTCCTTGGATGGGATGATAATTACTCTTCTCGTTGCAATTTAAGAAAAGGGGATTGTTTTAGCTCAGGGGTGGGGGAGACAGAACATGATGGAGAAAACACAGCAGCAGGAGCCTGAAGCTGTCCATCATTGCATCCACAGAGATGAAACTGCTGCTCCTCTCACTTTCTCCTTTTTATTCAGCCAGGAACCCCACTCATGAGATGGAACCACCCACGTTCAGGACGGGTCTCTCCACGTGAGTGGAAACTCTTTGGAAATGACCTCCCAGACTCATCCAGATTTTGTCTCCCTGGTGGGTCTAAATCCCACCATCACAGATATGGTAGAAAAGTTCCTTGTCTTTCCTTCCCCCTTTTGTCCCCTCCCCACACACACAAGAACCTAGTCTACCTTGCAGGATGCCTGAGAGTGCGAAGGTGAGCTGCAGTCCAAGTCTGGTGAAGTATCTCAGCATGAACCACCTCTTCTCCAATTATTTTTAGGTTTTGTTTGTCACAGTTTTGCTTTTTGAGTCAGGGTCTCATTGTTTGGCCTAGGCTGGCCTAGAACTTATCCTGTAGCCCGGACTAGACTAGAATTTACATCCTTCTGCTTTGTTCTCCCAAGTGCTGGGATACAGGTGTGTTCTACCATGACCAGCTGTTTTTCATAGTGTTAAGTCCAATACTATTACTCACAAAAATCTCTGTCACTATCCTGCCAAAGGTCACTGTTGGCTGAGGCCTGGGAGGAAAACTAATCCCTGGCCAGCACATTGGTGAGAATAACTCACTCCTAGACAACACCAATAGTTCATTCATGGTTCTGGGTGCACAGGGTTCTTCTCTCCAACCCAAGAAAACTCTGTACCCCTGATTGGTGGCTTTGCTAAAGGATTAAAGGCTACAGACTTTGTCTCACTAGTAGTTGGTGTCCCTTTTCCCTGAAGTGTCCTGAGACCTAATTTGTTGTAATTCAGCAACCCCACATTTTAGCTAACACACATGAGAACAGATTGTACAAGGCAGCAGCTGAGGAAGGCTGAAGAGTGGGATTTGAAGCTTTCATTGATGTTATTTTCTCAATTTGAAGAATCTGATTTTGGATAAAAAGATGTGTATGCAGCATACAACTGGCAACATGAAGTGCTCAGGGGCCCCACTGTGTGCTTCTGAGTTAAAGCAATCCTCACCCCACAACCTCCCATGTAGCTAGTACTTCAGGTGTATACACCATATCCAACTTAGAGACAAGATTTTTGTCAAGCCTCACAACTCATGAGAGGAGATTTATCAGCCTCTGATGAATTTGTACGAAGATTAGTTAGGTATCATGTGTGTCTTTAAGTTTCCAGGGAAAAAGTCTTACAAATAAAACTGCAAAACGACATGCACTATCAGTGACATCCTAAATGGACTGAGGCCAGCAGCTGCTCCATGGCTCTGTAATAAATAATTCTGTTTGCATTATTTTTTAGCTCTAAAGCCTAGTGGTGTGGCCACTGGTACAATGCACATGCTCCAGTAAGCAACCTTAATGAAACTCAGTGGTTCACACACAGAAAAGAAAGTCACTTAGAAGTAGGAGGGGACTGGATAGAATGAGGAGGGGCCAATGGGAGGAGGGGAAGGACAAGGGACAACAGGAAGAGGGATATGATGGAAACACATTTGGGCATGTATGTGGATGTATAATGAAACCCATGGTTACCTGTAAATAATACATGTCATGAAAACATTTCTAAAAAGAAAACAAAGTTAGTTTGGAGCACAGACCAAAGCTGGCTGGGGAGCATGGGGGCTTCTTTCATAATTGACATCGAAGTCTGATCAAGGAAAGTCACTGCAGAGTCCTAGGTCTCAAAGCATCAGGGTCATCCAGTCAATTCTAGTCTTGTCAAGTTTCTCTTACTGCTGTGCTAAAGAAAGTGTCAGGCATAGTTTTTGTAGATTTCAGAAAGTCAGATTTCAACATTTTCCAGAAAAATCCCCCAAGAGGCTCAAAGTGGTCAGAGCATTATTATTTTTAATTGTATTTGTTATTGTGTGTGTGGGCACATGATGTGTGTGTGGACACTGTGTGTGTGTGTGTGTGTGTGTGTGTTTGTGGGTGTGTGTGCACATATGATGTGTGTGTGCATGTGTGCATGATTGTAAGTGCCCTTACCTACTGAGCATCTTGCCTATGTTTAGGGTGATCTTTTGTTTGTTTTGTCTTTTGTTTTGGGGATGGGTTTAAAAAATGTTTTTTGCTTGTCATTGTTTAGTTTTTGAGACAGGTTCTCTCTACATAACCATGGCCATCCTAGAAGTCACTATGTAGACTGAGTTAGTTTCACAGAGATCTCTGGCCTCTGCCTCTCAAGTGCTAGGATTAAAGGGGTGTGCCACCCAGGGTATCCTTAAGCATTCAGTCCCTAAAGGGCTTCTCTCAAAAGATCTGCAGAGGAAATGTAAGAGTCTTCATCCTTGAGAAAAAATAAGTTGCATAGGTTATTATTATCTGATGTGATCCAGTTATAGGCAGAAATGAACATCAAGTCTCTCACATTAAAAAATAAATAGAATTGGCAAAAAGCAAGGACAGTTCATGAGTAAAAGTTAAACCAAAACAAAGGTTTAAGTAGGCTGGAGGTTCAGTTTCTGGTAAAAGGGAATTAAACTGCTCCAAATACCGATGTAAAGTTAGGTCTTTCTCCCTGCATTTGCCATGGGAACCAATGACTCCATTGTACATTAATCTGAATGTTGAGTTCAAAAGAACAAACTTTT